GCAACATGCTAAGAATCTTTCAAAGTACCATAGCGAAGGCATAGCAGTAGCCTGGCAAACACACATAGCAGAACAGCCATGCTTAGAATCATCATAAGTTCTTGGAAAAGTATATGTGTAGTACAGTATGCAGTAAGCTACAGTATAGTGTTGCATGATATACCAGTAATAGAAACTGCTCACTATTAAAACAGTTTGCTTTTATTACTAGCAGTACTTTTAAAAAACACAGCATTTTAATTAGAACATTATTTCTTGAGTTATGTTGACAGCATACAGTAAATGAAAACTGTAAATAAAAAAAGCTTATTTATTGACTGTCTTAGTCCTATCACTTTAAAAAAACAAACACTGTAAATCTTTTTATATTTACTGCTCTATTAGGTCACACTTTATTTTTATGGTCCGTTTGTTAAATTTAAGTTACATTGCATCTACATGCCAACTAATTCTCATTAGATTATAAGTAGACTGTTAGGTTGGGGTTAGGGTTGGGGTTAGGGCTAGATTAAATTAGTGCAAAGTACTAGTGCAAAGTTTCTTATGCCGAGTTCAGACTGCACGATTTTAGCCCCAATTTTGACTTTCCGACAGGTTTTGTGAAATCACCAACAAATCCCTGAAATCACAGGGATCACAGTCACCTGAGTGACAATCACACAGTATGAACAATCAAAGGCGACATCTGAGAGAATTGCTGATGAGTCGCCGATGCCTGTGAGATATTTGGGGTGCTCAGCTGTCGGCGATTCAAATCATGCTGTGTAAAATGCTTTTTTTTAAAAGAATTTACTTTCGTGTCTGTGTACCTGCAGGTCAGCGGGAGGTTGAGGGAGAAGTTAAAAGCACTCATTTTCGGTTTATTTGGACCCAAGAAGTGGAAGAAAAACTAGTGAAGGATTGACAGGAGCACCCGTGTCTGTTTGACATGTCATACAGAAAGTTAAAAAAAGTAGGTTGAGGAGAAATTGCGAATTCCCTTAAAACCTAGGTGAGCAAATATGTACATTTTCTACCCCATTAAAGGTGTCTTTCTCGTTATGTAGTTAATAACAAAATATATACTACATGTTTTTGGCTCTGAGATGTGATTTGGACAAATTTTTCGGTGATTCTTCCTATTGTAAAGTCATGCAATGTGAAATCTCCTGTCGCCGATCCATCTTGCAGTGTAAACAAAGCAGCGACAAAACGCTAGCCCAGATAGTCATGCAGTGTGAAAACATCTCTTACACGACTACTTTGAAAATCATGCAGTCTGAACTCAGCATTATAGTCAGTTAAATGTCTGTTGAAGGAGCAACCAATATTAAGCAGACAGTCTAATACTCAAATAGACCATCAAAATAAAGTGTAACCCTTTATTTATTTATTCATTTGTTTATTTGTGTATGTATGCATGTACAGTATGTTTGTACTTTTATTTTAGTTGTCTTTTATTTCTTTAGTTTAAATTTTTAAAAATGAATTCTCATTGCACAAAGCTTGTTAACAAGTTTTAATGATTAATGAAGGAATTATAATGCATTATTTCAGTTTTCCATTTTCATTTACAAATACCAGGGTATTAACAGTTACTGTATATTCACATTTCGTACCTTGGTGCCCCCCGTCAGAATAGTCGTAAACTGCTGTGACACCAAAAAATTAATCCCTTGATACCGCCGCGGCACCACACACAACGTTAATGGTCATTTTGAAGTGTGCCACTGTACATACAGCGTTCAGCATAACTGAGTACACCCCATTTCGATAAACAAATATTTGTATCCATTTCAAAGTGAATATCAATCACATATTTTGGTGCATTTGAACAAAGCAGATTTATTAAATGGATATATTTATTAAAGTAAAATTTTAGTCACTGAAAATCTTAAGGAGTAGAAAGATAATACATTTTAATTCATGCAAAATATGGGGGGGGGGGGGGGGGGGTGATACAAACTACAACATTTCAACAAAATTTTAGAGACGTTTCGTTTCTCAGGAATTTTGCTCTTTTTACATTTTTTATTTAATACTTTCCCTAACATATATTTTGGCTGTACTAATTTTGGACCCTTATCATAAGTTATTTTGTTAGATAATCTTTATATTTGTGTTCAGTACTGACAAATCTAATGTATATGCACAAATAAAATACTGTAGAGCTTCCTATAAAAAATATTAATTCAAACAAGAGATGCAGGACTGTTTAAAGGCATAGTTCACCCAAAAAAATACTCACCTTTTTGAGTTTTTTTTTTATGTTGAGCACAAAATATTTTGGAAAATGCTTGTTGCTGGGACCCATTGACTGCCATTGAAATATTACTTCCTACTGTGGAGGTCAGTCAGTCCCAGCAACCAGCACACTTTAAAATATCTTTTTTGTGTTTAACAGAAGAAAGAAACTCGTAAAGGTATTTTCATCTTTGGGTGAACTATCCCTATAAAAAAATTACTCGTTTTGCAGGAATGACAAAATAAATAAATCTCTCTTCAGTGTTACATTGAGTTTCACTTTTCACATGCTCACAAAATGATGGCAAAATCGCCCTTTTGCTGAATATCCTCATGGCTATTATATACAGTAGATCGTTGCCTAATGCGCTCTGTATTGAGTTTTAATCAATCAGCAGCAAAAAAAATAATAATTAAATAGAAAGAGAAAATCCCTTACCGCTCTTTACTAAATCACTTCAGTAGCTTTAATGATAATTAGTGTATGCTAAATCTATCCAGTTTTTTTCACTTTCTGTATCATGTCTTACTTGAGTGCTACTGTTAAGTAGATATTCTGTATCAATAATATATGTATATGGGCAGGTTTTACAATAAGGTTTCATTAGTTAACATGTTTTTAACATGAACTAAGTATGAACAATACTTGTACAGCATTAATTTATCATAGTTCAACATTTACTAATGCACTATATGCAAATTCATGCTTGTAAAATGCACTGTGAGTTAATATGAGCTAACAACACACAACTGTTCATAAACTAACGTTAACAAAGATGAATAAATACTTTGATAAATGTATTTTTAATTGTTTGTCTGTGTTAATATTAAATACATTTAAGTACAAATGAAATCAAAACTTACCATAAGATTTTGTTAGCTTGCATTTTTAGTTTTGTGGTGAGTAATTCATCTGTGCATGTCATTAAGAAAAAGTTTGCCCTTGTAATCTAAAATTAAAATCTAAAAATGCACTTCATGTTTTTTTTATTTTTATTTTTTTCAGTTACATTTTCATTGGCTGCATCCGAAATTGCCTACTTATCAGTAGATACTGCATTTGAATTTATTGAAAAGTTAGAAAATTATGTACTATACTATATGAATGTGAGCAGTATGAATCGAACTTGTACTTGCTTCATCCGCCATTTTGTCATCTTAACCCGACCTACCAACATCAGTTGCTTCCCTTCACTTCCATTCATGAATTCTCACGGTGCATCATAGAATATCGTAGCGTCCATCAGATGCACACTTCAGAATCTCACCGGCAGTAATAGATCATCCAGGTACTTCTCACATACTGTTTTTTTTAATTCTATGAATACAGACATACTACTCGGCTTGCATACTGTTTTTAGCGTACTATATAGTATGTGACAGTTTCAGATTATGTGATTTTGATGTATTAGGCGTGGCTAACATATTTAGCCACACCCCTCCTAATGTCATTTGACAACAAACAGAAATAGTGAGAAGGAGTAGGTGTTTTATAGGTTGTAAATACTCTCCCCAAACTCATTTCCTTTCTGAATGAAATGCATACTTGACTACATCCAATCAGCTGGCTGTAGAGAAAACAAGCCACACCCACTGTTTTTACTGTGTTATATAGTTTGGAAATATGCAATTTATGATGTCAGTTTTTGCTGTCATGCTGTCAGTTTTGACAACAAACAGAAATAGTGAAGAGGAGGAGGTGTTTGTTAGGTTGTAAATACTCTCCCCAAACCTGTTTCCTAATCTTTCTGAATGAAATGCCTACTTTACTACATCCAATCAGCTCACAGTAAAAAAAACAAGCCACACCCACTGTTTTTAGCGTGCTATATAGTATGAAAGTATGTAATTTAGGCCGCAGCTTCAGATTACGTGATTTTGGGGTATTGGGGGTGGCTAACATACCTAACCACACCTCTCCTATTGACAACAAACAGAAATAGTGAGGAGGAAGACTAATCTGTTAGGTTGTAAATACTCTCCCCAAACCCTTTTCCCAATCTTTACAAAGGAAATGCCTACTTTACTACACCCAGTCAGCTCACAGTTGAAAGAATCAAGCCACGCCCACTGTTTTCTCTTTAAATATTTTGTTTTTCTATAGGCACTGTGTCACAATATGAAAAAAAATGGTTGCAGCTTCCGGTGGACTTCAATAAACATTAACTAATACAGACTCATTGTAAAGTGCTACCTAAATATTTATTTGACTATTACAAATAATTCTTTTTCTTTTACTGCATTTGCCATTTGTTTCTTATTTTTAACAACAAAGATAACCTAAAAACCTTTAAATAACTTCTGTATATTGTGATATGTCATTATCATGAACAATAACTAATTAAGTAGTTTTATTAAATATCATACTGCATAGCAGCTTCTTCAACCACCCCAAACAAACTACTGTAGAAGCATTGAGTTTCTGTGTACATTGCTCAATACAAAACACTTATTGTCATGATAGATAAAACAGACCTGAGGAGTTCCATGCACCAGGAGGTAAAGACACGGCAGAGAAAGCTGTATAATCATAACGTCTTTGAGACAAACAGATGTACCCTCTTATTTGAAACTACCCAGCTTGTTTTTAAAACAAGGCATCATATTGAAGGACTCCTTCAGGCATCCGAGTCTTGATTTGAGAGTGTGAAGGGAGGCAGCGTGAGCTCCGCTTGCACGAAAGGCGAGGAGGTACTGCTTGACTGAGACTATGACTGTCTGCCAGGAGAGAGAGCGAATCTGCTAATCAGCATGTGTCTCTGCTCTGTTGTTTACAGCATCCAACCCCGCTATGTATGGAAGTACAGGAGGCGCTGAAGTCCTGCTGGCCTGCTGGTACCTGATCCTGGCTCTCTCTTCTCTCGTCACCGTTTACTAGCCCTGGGGACGGCCATACACAATGACTGTAAAGAACCCTTTTGAGCATTTACAGATCCTTTGACATTGCTGATGGCTGGATCCAATCTGGTACAGTGTGTTTGGAAAGCGGCGAGGGATTTTAATCAGCATTGCTTATGTTGGGATGGTAATTTTCTTCTGTGGTATATGTCATCATGTAAATACATGCGGTTATAGGGGTTTTGTTTTCCGTTCTTCTCTTATTTCCTTTTTTTTTTGTGTGTGTGAATCAGCACACATTGTCCCCCTTTCGAACGCTCTCAAATTAGCTGAAATCACACTTTGGGAAAGCGAGGGTGTGTGACATTAGTGTCTTTGTTAGTGGAAAAGAAGAGACCGCCCTAGTGTGCCACCTTGCTCTCCATCCTGGTACATCATTCACGTACTTATAAAGCGCGAAAGGGGTTTGAATAACATGCTTTTTAGACTGTGCTCATTAAAATCCATTGAACCAGGATACACTGTTTAAGATTTCACAAAGGGAGAGATATTGAAATTGATATCAGACGTAATACAGTCAAAGGTGAAGCGAACAATTGAAGAGCAGCTTTAGTTTAATACGCTACAGTAAAAAAAAAAGAAATGATTATTCATTTTTTTTGGACCAAATCTACAGCCATACCTCAATGATTTGAAACTCTAGGCTATAGACTCCAATTATGCAGAGGAAGATGGTACGCCTTTCTAGGCTGATTTAATTGCTTGTACAATCCTAGGTTGTACTCTGGATATGTAAAACTATGAGGCAAACTGACATTCTGTAACGTTATTTGTGACTGATGCAGTGGGTAAAAGGTTATAAAACAACAAAGCGGAGTCACAAAGCCGTTCCTTTTGCCCTGGAGGTCTTTAAAACGAGAGCTATATTGTGGAATACAAAAGAATAGGGAAATATTTAGTGTTGCGTTTGATGTTATATTGAAGAAGATATGAAATAATAATAGCACATAAAGGCATTATGCAGTTGGCAGCGTGAATAATAATAATGTAACAGGCAAATCCAAAGTCCAAAGTTGAGGGAAGACAGCCAGAACTGGCTCATATTTCATTTCAAATGACGAAATTATGGACAGTGTCTAATGGTACTTATCTGACGATCCTCCATATCATTTGTTTTCCTTCATTTTATAGATTATGCTGTATGGTTGTGATCATTTGAACTGGATTTTATAATGTATTAACATATTACCTGCTTTGCTTCTGTCAGTGTGAAATAGTTTCGAACAGGGAAGCAGAAAAAAAAAAAAAGATTATGCACTTCCCTTGTTGGGACAATACGAAACTTTCAAGTGTGGATCCAAACATGTGAATGAATATTATTTGAAAATACGTATGCAGTATGGCATAGTTTACAATGTTGTCTTTCATTTTAGATGCCACAACTGTTGTTGATTCTTGTCAAACGAGTAGAAGTTGGAGAAAAAAAAAGAAAAAAAACAAAGCATTTGTAATCAAATAATCTACTTTTATCTCAGAGGGTGTGAACCAGTCATACGGTATAATAGAAAACGAGTCACGTGTGTGTATATTCGAAGAGAGTAGAACTCATTTTATCTTATCGGTAGAGCCAGTGTCTAGGTTTAGTTTAACCTCTACCCTAGTTCCCACACACTTGTTGTATACTACGATGTGCAGAAATTATAAATGTGCTGCATGTCAAATTAATATGTATGTTAAGGTGGCCACTTACCATAAATCGATAATTTGAGAACAAAACCCGTTTCGAGGCTGCTTTGACTTAATGAGATGTGTTCCACTCTACTGATGATCACTAGGCCTGCCTGTTTGAGCAGTGATGAAATGCTCTTCTCATGTGAAAATCATCACAGAATTGTTTCTGCTCGGTGTGCAATATTGGGTCCTTTCCCATAACGGACTTTGTTTGGTTAACGCTTGACGAGTTTACGTTCTTTTCTGCGTATTATTTGTTTGCACAAATACATTTTAAATGACACGAGAAGTCATCAGTGGACATTTTTAACAGATATTGTAAGGTATGACATAAACGTCCTTTCGCTTATTACGAATCTGAAAGCCTCAAAGATCAAACCGGAGGATGTTTAAATATTCATTGCTGTGTTAAAACCGAGGCCTGGCTCTTGTCATGTAAAAAAGTAACACTGCACTTGCTTATCATCACCACGAACTTACATAATCGCAGATTAACAGCAGTAGCTTTGAACAGTAAATACACCGCAATTCATTTCAACATGAAATAACATTTCGAGTCCACCCTAGAAGCAAGTACTGTATAAAATGTGCCTTTAAAAGTATTAATTGATATGATCTGTTGCCATTTCATGTCTAAGCCTCGCGTTTGCCATTCATATCTACCATACGGTACAGCTTTCATTGTCGCGCAGTATTTCTGGCTCATATTTAATTATTTAAGTCGAAACGAACAGCTAATAAAAAGGGCATTTTTTTTAAACGTCTGACAGTTTTGAGTTCTGTAAAGATATAAAGGTAGCACATGCTCTTTAATAAATATTGTGAATAAATCATCAACAAAGAGCTCATTAAAGCATCATTAAAGCCCCGTAAGTGGATATCAAGATAAGAACAGCAGACAAGACGCATTCATGCATGCATAATTCTCCTGAAAGTTACAGCCTTTCAAGAAACAGTCTGTAAATAACAGGCAAATGTGCTGCAGATTTTTCCCTCTGAACGTCTAATGACTTGATAATCACATTCCTGGACATGCATTAATATTCAATGACTATTCAATGGCTCACATCATGCAAGCGCTAATTCGAAGAATTGTGACAGATATACAGTGCATGGTGCTGCTAGTCATGAAAACTCAATTTTATTTTTAGTTTTTTACGAATGGGTTCAAATTGCTGCAGGCAACTTGGTGAGTTTTAACCCAAGGAGACCCCTGGAGTTTCAACATCTTCCTGGATCACTCGCCAGTTTTTTGATTTGACTTTTTTCTTTCCTTCCAAAATGAATCCTCCCCAAAAAGTAGATGTATCAGCGCACAAATACAGCCCAAAACATTTAAGATACTTCATCTCCTATCTGGAGCTGGGCTGCTGGCGAGACAGAATGAGGGTGGTAGGCGGTATTTCAATGATTAAAAACCTGTCAGCTCCATCTCTGTCTTGGCTGGACTCTTTTGAAAGTCGGTTTGAGAGTGCTGTGTGTGCGGTCAGGGGAGGCGATTCTTCTGACCTGGCAGTTAATAAAATTCTTCCTGTGCCTTTGTCAGTTTCTGGAGGATTTTTTTTTTTGCGGAGAGCTGGAGGCTGCTGCATTAACCAGCTGCGAGCGCTCACTCTCCCAGCAGCCTGACAGTAATCTACATAAACCTCTGTCCTTTTCAAAACGCTTGCCAGTAATTGCAGTTTTGCAGTATTCTAATTGACTCCACGGAGCACCGTAAAGAACAAAAACCTATAATCCTTCCCGAAAGCCCGTTTCGCTGTTGTGTTAAACCTTCGAATGATACGAAAGTGATGACAAACGAACCGGACGCCATGACTGTACTTAGCCTGTAGAAGCACTCGCGGTCGGGATAATAAAGTCGCTGCCGTTGTTTTGTTTTCCTCGCCATCAAGTGTTTGTCAGCCTCCCTCGCTCATTATTTTCACTGAGCTGGAAAATAAGTTAGCCAAGCACTGATGCAGTGGTTTTGATAATGCTAAGGTTTTTAACAGAGCCGTCTTTTGCTGAGCTCTGTGTCTCGGCGTTTACGTAAATAAAAAAGAAAAAAGCAAGGGATCAAATTTCAAACTCAAGTCCAGGGTTTTATGAACACGCTCTCTTATTCACTGTTATGTCTCATTAGATGTCGGTTGGCCTGGTAATTTGTTGCTAGCTGTTTTGAATGGCATGGACTATTTTTGTGTTGGCACCGTTCATATCTTGAGCAGTTATTTTGTGAAGTGGAATAAGTCCACCAGTGAAACCACCCGTCTGCTACTGAGTAATTGAGCACAGAGGACACCCGCCAGATTGATTCAAATTTTACTAATGCTTTTTTTTTGGGAAACATTTGGTGAGCTTTGGTTACTTCTTTTTTTTTTTGTATATACATGTTTGTTTGATTCTTTTGGTACTTTTTCATTTGGTTTCGTTCAATTTGGTGACAAAGTATACAATGGACATTGTAACCATCTCGGGTTGGCTGTACTTTTATTTCCTAAACTCTTGAAGCTGAAATTTCTGTGATGAGAAATTTGAAATGGTCATCTTTACTTACATGTGTATGGAGATACTTTAGCCACCAGGGATATAGTTGTATATTTTAGGCTCTAGATCACTGGAATGACATATATGGCTTTAAGTGGCATTGATATATATTGATATTTGTCAAGAAAAAAAAAAGAATCATATACTTTAATTACTTTAAAGCTTACATTGTGTATAGCACGTATGCAAGTTCATTTTCATCATGTTTGATGTAATTTTGTAGCAGTGGTTTGATACTAATAAAGTTGGAAGTTGGTGATGGAACTGTGAAATGTGCTTTACATGATATGTTTGTTTGTTTGTTTGTTTGTTTTTTAAATACTGTACCTGAAATAACGTTCTGCATATAATATAATTAACCAAGAACACAAGCTGGTCTGTTTCACAGCGTATGAAATAAACATGAATACGTCTAAACTCATTTTCAGTTGATAAATCTACAGACTCTTATGCTAAAATAATACTTCCCACACAAGTGGACAATGTTGATCTGGAATAAAATGAAAACAATTAATATGTGAGGCTAATTGTTATTTTTTATTTATTTATTTTTTTTTTTTTTTTTCTTAAATGTACTGGCAAGTGAAAACAATGTGTACATCAAGTAACTACTTAGCTTATCTACTTATTGAAATCTTTATGGAGAACATATGCATATCTTTAACATAGGTAGCAGTGGGGGAAATAAGTGTTCTAAAGGTGTTGTTGACTTGAGATTTTCACCAGATGTTAATAATAACCAAAGAAATACATAAATGAAAAGAAAACAAATTTCTTTAGATTACAAATGAAGTTATGTGAAATCAAATAAAATTACACAGGAAAAAAGTATTGAACACCTGAAGACAAGGAGGTGTAGAAAGCCCAGACAACGTCTGAAATCTCTCTGTAGTTCTTCAGCAACTCTCTGCCCTTATTTATTGTAAATTAACATCAGCTGCTTCAGTCCAACATCTCCATTAGCAGGATGATAACCAGGGCGGACAATTCAGCAAGACAATGATCCAATATACACAGTCAAGAAAACTCTTAAATGCTTCCAGAGAAGGAAAATCAAGCTGTAGAATGGCCCAGCCAATCATCTGACTTGAATCCAATAGAAAATACACATTAGAGATCTGATTTGATAGACGACACCCAGATGAAGATTTTTACACTCTGTTTGAAGTCTGAAAGACTCACATCTGAGCAATTAATGTGTCTTCATTCTACATAAAAAAAGATCTTTTTAAGGCGTATTTTTCCACCTTGGTTTCATCATTATCATCCTGGCAATGTATATCGATGGGCAGAGGGTTGCTAAATAACTTCTTTCAGCTGCTGTCTGGGCTTTCACTGCCTTTCTACACCTCCCTTTATTCATGTGTTCAATACTTTTTCCCTGTTACATTTCATTTTATTACACATAAATTCATTTGTAAACTAATTTGATTTGTTTTCCCCCTTATTTATTTTTCCCCAGTTTCTGTTTAATGGGGAGAAGATTTTTCAACACATTTCTGAACATAATGGTTTTAATTACTCATTTCTAATAACTGGTTTATTTTATCTTTGCCATGATGACAGTAAATAATATTTTACTAGAGATTTTTCAAGGCACTTCTATACAGATTAAAGTGACATTTAAAGACTTATTAGGTTAATTAGGCAGAATAGGGTAATTGGGCAATTTATTGTATATCGATGGTTTGTTCTGTAGACTATCAAAAAAATTTGCTTAAAGGGGCTAATAATTTAGACCTTAAAATGTAAATTAAAAACTGCTTTTATCCTAGCCAAAATAAAACAAATAAGACTTTCTCTAGAAGAAAAAAATATTATCAGACATACTGTGAAGATGTCCTTGCTCTGTTAAACATCATTTGGCAAATATTTAAAAAAGAAAAATAAATCAAAGGGGGTCTAATAATTCTGATCTAATAATAATAATATTTATATATATATATATATATATATATATATATATATATATATATATATATATATTCATTAATTGCACTCTAATCGTATGTCCATTTTTCACATTAAACTATAAAAAATTTAAAAATAAATTCTCTTAAAAATAAAAAACTCTTTTTTTTTACACAAGACAGTACATTATGATCTACTTGTACTTTTTCTTTTATCATTTAGAATCTTGGCATTGCCATCGTAGAAGATGATCAAAAGATACATCTTACAACATGCTTGCATAATATTATATACAAGTATATTAAAATATTGTGTAATAAAAAGCTACACTCTGCATCAGTTAGAGCTAAAAGATTTCTTTCCAAACATATAACCAGCCAGAAACATATTCATCGCTGCAGTAATAATACTTTGCTCAATTTACGTCTTGGTTTCACAATTTTATTCTTTTGGGATTAGTTACATAACAACATCACATGATTAGTATGCATGAAACTGGTTATAGCATGTATTAATATCACAACATTATATGCTGCATGCATACAATCATATACAGCATTACTTAAGCTGTCGGATTCAAATTATGGAAACCACACTAAGTACAACATACATACGACATAGATATATTGTACAACATACAATTATTCAAAGTGATTTACATGAAACATAAAATATGCAATTATTATATTAAAACTGCTTTCAAAATAAAGCAGCAACTGATGTCCTTAAATCTGTAGTGTGTTGATGAGCAGCAGCTATAGTATGTGAGAAATAAAAATATATACATACAGAAGAATTGCAAAGGCTGTATAAAGGTGATGTTTTATTTCAAACAATTGATTAAAATAAAGTGGGTTGATCTCAATGTGCTGTAGGTTTTAGTCGTTTTGAAAGGCGTTATACTATTAATATGTAATTAATAAACAATCAGTATTATTAAAGATAATCAGTATTATTTTTGGCCAGAATAAATAGAATAGAAAAAAGAACAACAGATTTTTTTATTCATTGCTGTTTATGTCAAGGTAAAGGAAAACTAGAGAAGACAAAATAATGATGGTTAGGGCAAACTTTACACACTTCTGTGACTCTATAAGGAAAAACATGCCAGTTTTTTCAGTCTGCTTGTGTTTTACATGAATTTTAGTTGTATAAAAGTGTGCCACTAAGCTGCTGCTTCACTGTATTGTCTCTAAGGAATCTTCAACAAATTTAGTGAGTTTAGTGATTAAAAATATGAGTTCATTCATGAAGAACAACACATGCCATCTATACTGTACGTCAGAGCACACGCACACTTGATCAGAATGCTGATAAGGTGTTTTCATGCCTTTTTAAGCTGTTAATTTTGCATATGTTGCATATTTTATTATAATAAGGCTTAATTATGAGTTGAATCCCTTTAATTTGATTGAAGTGTTGTTTGAAAGTGAAGGTGTGTTTAAAAATGTAGTAACAATACTGCCTAAATTGCAATACGGCAAAAATACTGATGTTGATTTTAAGTGCATTATAGATTTTATACTGTAACTAGTATTGTTATAATCCAACAGTTAAAACTGTGAGTTAGAGGTGCAATAATAAATCAATATAGATGAATAAATAAGTGGTATGATATAAAGTACCACAAAAAATAAGTTGCACAAAAACTATCGATCTACTGTATATAAATATTTTTAAGGTGCCTCTGGTTTGACTCTTCATGTAATAGTAATAATCAACAGCACATTCTCATCTACTCATCATAATGTCTACATGTGCTCTCTAACATGAATGTGCGATTTCTGTATATACATTTTTCAAAGGGAGAGTTAACCCAAAAATGGAATTTCTGCCATTGTTTCCTCAATCTGTATGTTGTGCAGGACAAGCAGACAGAGGTAGCTCCAAATGCAGCTTTATTTAGAATGGTCAGGCAGGCAGGGCTTGAAAAGCAGCATCTACAGTGTAGTAGAGAGTCCAAGAGCAAAATCCAGAGGCAGAAGTTCAGGGCAGTCGGCAGAGAATCAAAACACAAAACAATCCAAGGTCAAAAAAACACAGGAAACAAGGAAAACCGGTTTGAATTGAATGTAACAGCTAGACAATACTTAAAATGTGTGTGAAACAAAGGTGTACTGTATATAGAGTTCGGGTAAGCAGTAACGATGAGTTTCAGCTGTGTGTGTCTCCAGATGACTGTCGGAGGTGATGAGCTGTGGCAGGAGTGATTGGTGCAATGACTTCTGGGATTTGTAGTTCGACAGGAATGTAGGAAGTAATCTCCAGCACAAAAACACTGCTGGCGATCACAACACATTTCTTTCAAATCTGTTTGAGTCTTCTGTTGAACACAACATAGTATAGTATAGTATAGTATAGTATAGTATAGTATAGTATAGTATAGAACACAGTACAGATATACTAAAGAATAGTGGAGAAAAGCGTCCGCTGACTCGCATAGTATGTTTTTGTCAATAGTATGGATGTCAATGGCTGCCTTTTCCAACATTCTTCAGAATATCTTGTAGTTTTCAACAGAAGAAAGGAATTACACAAGTTTATAACCACTCAAGTGTAAATAAATGGTGAAGAAATTTTCGTTTTTGGCCAAATAATCAACGCTAATCCAAAATAATATATATGTATTTTCATTAAGTGTTTTAAAAGTATTTCAAAAGTCTTTCATTAGCTTTGTATCCATCCAAATATGCAAATTATACAGTCACACTTTACAATAAGGTTTCATTGATTGTATGAATGTATTTACTAACATGAACTAATTAAAAACACTACTAGTACACCATTTATTAATCACAGTTCAACATAGTTACATTATTAAAATCCTAATGCTTGTTAGTAAGGGTTGGAGGACAATGGAGGGGAGTTGCTAAGTGATTTTCAAAAATTGAATTTATTTTATTAAACCCTTAGAATTACCATATTTTATCCATAACCTACAGAATAAAAGAAGTAATAGTTACATTAAAAAAACGACACGCAAATAAAGAGCCATCAGCCTTTCCTTTTTTGTTTTTCCATTGCATTGCGCCCCCTGGGGTGATTACGTTATATTAAAGACACATTGATAGCGTCAGTTGTAGCAGATTGATTTCATGGCACCAGGTTAAACTTTCTGACACCTTTACGACACTCGCATACATTAAAAGAAAGGCCACGACTGATTATGGAGGATGGTCTCTGAGTGGCATTCTCCAAAATTAAACCAAGAATAGATATGGGCCTATTGATGTGTGTGCACTGTTCTGTGCTAGGTTTGCATATGTCTAACCACCTTAGAGGATGTTTGGGGTCACGAGTCACTGTGATTGTTGTTTTACGGGTCACGGGCTGAAAAGTTTGGGAACATTAATACACTAAA